CCCGATCCTGATCAGGGCAGAAACCAAGAAGGGGCTGAAAGGAGAAGCACACACACGTACACACACACTATTTAAAGATAGAGGTATAAATGAATTCTCTTGTTTTATGTCTCAGTAGATTTTGTAAGATTCTCTTTTAACATAGTTCCACAATTTATTGTTGTTGTATTTGGTAAGTCTTTTTTTTTTTCTTTTTTGATATCTTGGTTTACAGACGGGGTTTGTATCCATTATGAATCTGGATTTTTTCTTCCCCTGGAGTATTTCTGAACTGCCCTGCTAATTTGGTGTATAAGGAAGCGACTGTGTGTTTTATGTTGGTTTTTGTGATCTGTCCAGCCCTGTTTGGAACATTTAGTTGCTCTCTTGGTCCGTCTAGGTATATAAAATTATGTTGATCCTGCAAAAACATTGGTATCTTTGCCCCCCTTTTTCCTATGTTGTGCTCTCGCTGGCGGTATGGCTGTCCCTGATGCATCCAGGTTCATGCTGCGGAATGATGGCCAAGGAGTCCTGAAAAGTGTTAGTGGAGAACGTCTGCTTGGTCTCTGAAACGTTTGGTGGTGCCCCGTTCCTAGGATGGAGACGTGAGAAACCAAAGGAGAGGAGAGACAAGAAATCAAGAGAGAACAACGTATTTCTACTTTATTAAAGTACTTCAACATCAAGGAAGTGGCATTTCAGATATTGCCTTTTCTTTTGTCTTTCCTTCCTTTTATCTTCTTTTTCTTTTCTCTTCTCTTTCTTTTCTTTTCTTTTTCCTCTTCCCTCCTCCTTTCCTTCTCTTTCTTCTTCTCTTCTTCCCTTCCTTCTTTCTTTCTTTCTTTTTTCTTTTTTCTTTGATCTTTTTCTGACAGTTTCTCACTCTGTCACTGGGGCTAGAGTGCAGTAGCATCATTATAGTTCACCGCAGACTTCCAACCCTGGTAGGTCCTTACTCTGCCTCCAGTGTAGCTGGGACTAACAGGGATGCTAATTTTAAATTTTTTTAATATTTTTTACTTTTGGTAGAGATTTGGGTCTCGCTATGGTTGTTTTTTTTTTTTTTCCCAAGCTGGTCTTGAACTCCTGGCCTAATGATCTCCTGCCTTGGGCTCCAGATTGGACGTGGGATACAGGCCAGGAGCAACCCTACTTGGCAGCCTGTTATTTTTCTATGGAGAAAATTATACTTTTCTCCTCTGAACTATTGAAATGATTAATAATAACTAAGATAGTTCCCATATGAATCACTCTGACATTCCTAGAATGAATTCTACTTGGTTGTATTATGTTATTCTTTTAATGTACTTCCCCTCAAAATGTATCTTCTAATATTTTATTTAAGAGTTTTGCCTTGGCATTTATAGGCAAGATTGGAATATATTTCTTTTCCAATGCGTGTTATGTTGGTCAGGTTATGATGTCAGTATTATGGTGACCTCACCAAAAATTGCTGAAGAGCTCCTCATTTCATATGCCTGGAAAGGTTTGCCACTAGTCCTGGAAGCACAGAAAGAAAGAAAGAAAGAAAGAAAGGAAGGAAGGAAGGAAGGAAGGAAGGAAGGAAGGAAGGAAGGAAGGAAGGAAGGAAGAAAGAAAGAAAGAAAGAAAGAAAGAAAGAAAGAAAGAAAGAAAGAAAGAAAGAAAGAAAGAAAGAAAGATAAAAGGAAGAAAGACAAAGAAAAGGCAATATCTGAAATCCACTCCTGATGTTGAAGTAGCTTTAATAAAGTAGAAATACGTTGTTCCTCCTTGATTTCTCTTGCTCTCTCTCTCTCTTTGGTTTCTCACTGTCTCCATCCAGAACGGGCACCACCAAAGGTTCAGAGACAAGCCAGACGTTCTCACTAACACTTCAGACTCTTGGCATCATCCGGCAGCATGAACTGATGCATCAGGGACAACGCCATCAGCAAGAGAAACGTATAAGAGGCACAAACATAGGAAAAGGGGGCAAAGATACCAATGTTTGCAGATAACATAATTTTATACCTAGAGGACCCAAGAGAGTCAACTACATGTTCCAAACAGTGGGCTGACAGATCACAAAAACAAAATATAAACATCAGTCGCTTCCTTATACACCAAATAGCAGGCAGTTCAGAAATACTCCAGGGGAAGAAAAAATCCGATTCATAATGGATACAACCCCGTCTGTAAACCAAGATATCAAAAAAGGAAAAAAAAAAAAAGACCTTACAAATACAACTAACAATAAATATGTGGGAACTATGTTAAAAGAAATCTTACAAAATCTACTGAGACATAAATACAAGAGAATCTATTTATACCTTATTCTTTAAATAGTGTGTGTGTACGTGTGTGTTGCTTCCCCTTTCAGCCCTTCTTGGTTCTGCCTCTAGAGCAGATCGGGAAATTGAGGAAGCTGGGAGCGCAAAGCACTGTGGGACTGCCCGCCTGGAATCCGCTCTGGTTCTGTGAGTGGCTGTTCTGTTGGAAGGCTCCATATTGTTTCTTGAGAATGTATATCTGCCCCCTGCCATGACTACCCACACTGCTCTTCACCCTGTCTCATGGGATCTCCCCAGAACCACATGGCCTTGTTAGGATGAGTTTCCAGAAACCCTTCCCCTCTGCGGCTATGTCCTTCCTTGGGGTCAGGATGAACCATAGTCTCAGCAAGGTAACAGAACACGGGACCGATCTGAACTTGGTAAGTAACTAAAGAGAGCAGGACACAGCACGTGGAGATGAAAAGGCAACAACAGGCAGCTCCCAGGAAACGCAGGAAGGAGTAGACGAGAAGGAGATGGCCTTGCTGGGGGAAAGAGACAAGGGGAAAAGCCACAAAGCCCCACCATAAACATGACAGAATATTCAGAAACATGGTGACCGGAGGAAATGACATAAAGTGAAATTTAAATTAAAAAAGTATTAACATGCTTAGAAGAGGAGCCAAAAAAAAAAAAAAAGCCAAAAGTCAAAATAATTTCAAAACTACCCTGAAATAAAGAGAACCTTCCAGCCGCAGTTGAAAGGCCACACAGAATCCCAGGGAAGAAAACACTAACAATCCACACCTGGAATATTTTGAGGCTACAGAACTTCAGGATAAAGGAGGAATCGTGCAAGCTGCCATCGGAAAGAGGCCATTGTGCACAGGAAGGAGAGAGGCAGGCCTCGGACTTGTGCTCAGCATCCTCCCACCCCCCCAACCCCATCTAGCCCCCCAACCTCCCAACACCCCCCACCCCCACTGCCAGAAGACAGCGGGGCAAAATCTGCATGTTCTGAGCACAGGACGGGGTATTCTGTCCGTTTTACACCCAGGGTGCTTGTTGCTCAGTATTCCAGCAACACCCGATCTCCAGAATGCAAGAACTTACGCAATACAGCACCCACGAGCCCTTTAAAAATAGAAAAACTACGTCACAATGAAATTTTGCCCACACAGTGGGAAGGCGAGCAAGGGAAAAAGAGCAGCTCTGGTGAGCCATGGCTTCATTTAAAAATAAAAAGAAAGAGTAAAGCACTGTGAGCAGTGTTCGCAGAAGAGAGTACAAATATTATAAATTGAAAAAATACTACACGAACGAAATCAGTACTGGGAAGAAGAGGTGAGAGAGGGTAAAATATAAAAGTCTTCATCATTCATGGCAGAATCGACAGGGGGATTAAACATGCTGTTGAAAATAAGAGTCTGATGCGGGGGCTCGGAGCCCAAGCAACGTGGGGACGGTGTCCGAACCAGGTGGGGGTCTTCCCCATGAGGGGCCACAGAGTCCCAGAAGGGTGAGTCTGGGGTTGGGATAATAGCCATAGTTTTGCCATTTTCTAGCTGAGTGGCCCCTTCTTTTCGAACCTGCGTGGTAACCTGCACTTACTCAGGGCTTTCTTGCTTATTTCAATGCCTGGTACTTAGTAGACACTTAACGACTGGTTTTGAATGAATGAGGACCTCCCCTGGGTGCAGACACTGGCCCTGAGAGGGGACAACGGGTGACCCAGGCTCATGTTCCCAGAAGGAACACCAGATGGTCCCCCTGGGCAGGCGACTCAGTCATCACAGGCCAAAGCCAAGTGCTGCCTGAGGACAAAGGCAGGCGGCAGTAAGGACCCAGCCCTGCTCTAGCCATGCTGGGAGTGGCCCCGGTCACTGGGATGTGGGGACAAACCCCCATGCATCACCCCAAGCCTGGGCGTGGCAGGAAGTGGGAAGCCGAAGGTAAGGAAACAAGCCTGGAAGGGACAAGAGGAGAGAGAGCAGGGGAGAGAATTCGGAGAAGGACATCCCATGAAGGAGAAGTGTCAACACTGCTGTCCATTTCAGCCACCGCTACCGACATCCTGTGTGATGGTGAATTTAATGTGTCCCCTGGATAGCCCACCGTACCCAGAACCTTGGTCAGACGCCAGTCTGGTGTTCAGTGAGGGTGTGTTCTAGACAAGATCAACATTCAAATCAGTAGACTTTGAGTAGAGTAGATGACCCTCCATATTGTGAGTGGGCCTGGTCCCATCAGTTGAAGGACTTAAGAGAAAACAGACCACTGTCTCCTGACTGACTGTCTTTGTAGCAGAAATGCAACACCAGCTCTCCCCTCGGTCCCAAGATTGTCAGGCCACCCTGCAAGACTGACAGCGTCCATGCTGAGTGAGCCAGTTCCTTAACCCTTTGCACTCGGATGTCGAGTGTGGATAATGTCAAGTGGATGATGAGAAAAAAGCAAGCGAGTGCAAAGGGTTAAAATCAATCTCTCTCTTTCTCTGTCTCCCTCTCGCTCCATACACATCCCTCCTGTAAGTCTGTTTCTCTGGAGAACCCTGGCTGCTGCATAGAGCCTCGGGGAAAGTTCCAGTGTGCCAAGCCCCTGCTGAGGAGGCCTCCTCTCCTGCACACTACACTGTCCTTCCTGGCCGGAGCTAAGGCTGCCTCTCCTGCCCCTGACCGGCTGCCCCTTTGACACGAGAAAGTGAACGGCAAAACTGGGGTCGGGCCTGGAGCCCAAGTGGGTTCTTGGCTTCATGTAGGAAAGAATTCAATTGTGAGCTGAAAGAGCAAGACAAAAGCAAGTTTATTGCTGAATGAAAAGGAAAACCGGGTGGCTGTCCCACGGACAGAGCAGCAGGCATCTCTGCGAGCAACAGGGAGCAGCCCTGCGTCAGTTTCCCGGGTCCTATTTTATATCTTCTATTTAATTTTACATTCAGCAGAGGGAGGATTATTCATGAGATTTCTGGGAAACAGGCAAGGAGTTCCTGTTTCAAACAGGAACTTTTAAACCATACAAGGTAACCATATGGTTACCCTTTAAACCATATAGGGTAACTTCCAGGACATGCAATGACATTTGTAAACTGCCACAGCCCTGGTGGGGGCTTAACTGAGTACAGGAATGCAGTGCGAGCAGCGAGGGTAGCCTGAGGCCAGTTTCCATCGCCATCTTGGCTCTAACTGGTTTTGGCCGGTTTCTCCACCAGCTCCTGTTTGATCAGAGACCTTGGTTGGGGTCTTTGACTCCTTGTCGGGCAGGGCCTGCCGGTTCCCTAGCCCACCTTCAGGTTACTGGCCTCTTTTGGCCCTGGAGCTGCCTGGAAGGAAAAGTCCATGGGGAGGACCTTGAGAGGAAGAAAACAGCTGTCTTTTCTTCTTTATAAAGTGACTCGCCGGTGTCCTTATAGAATTAAGCATTGGGAAAAGCTTCCATCCATCCTGGTGGATGTTCAGTCTAGGGTCCAATACGAGGACCGGGAGACCACTCCTAGCCTCGCCCCTCCCTCCGGCCCCCCGGCTCACAGTGGCCAGCTCTGTTCCTGCTCCAGTGTCTCAGCTGTAGATTACTCCACGGTCCCCAAAACGCATGGTTCTCTCCCCTGCACCCCAGAGCGAGAGGAGCAGCCCGACTGCAGTGCTCCCAAGAGAGGTAAGACAATTTTGCCGCATCAACGGGAGGGTTATGGTGACAATAGAGAGGATGTGATGTCCGGTCTCATGTCCACTTGTGCATGTCCAGGAGGTGAGGGATGGGGCTGGCTCCAGACTTCCCTCCCCCACAAGTGGCGAAAGTGCCGCCGGCCGGGCAGCGAGAGCCCTTGCTCGCTGTGCATTCAAGTCTTCACGCACCGTCAGTCCACGACCAGAGTTTGGTTCAGTCTCTCTATTTTCATGGGATTTAGAATTCTGAGACCCATTCTTGCCTGGAGCCCCAAACCTCATGGAAGGCAAAAGAAAGTCCACTAACATCGAAGGGGCCTCAGACTCGAGACTACATGTGTCTGCCATGGCCGGGGCGCCCAGGAGGAAATGCATTTTCCACTGCGCTGGAGAAAGGAAGGCTCTGTCCGGCCCCAGCGGCTACGCAGAGAAGCAGGGGCCAGGGAGAGTCCCCGAGCCCCAAGAGGCACGGCTGGGGGACGCGGGGGCTGCCACATTAACAGGAGGGTTATGGTGACAATAGAAAGGATGTGATGTGCGACCTCATGGCCAGGGAATCTCATCTGCAGGCCAGGGGTCATGGGGGCTGTTCCCTAAAGCTAGTCTGGCACTGCCTCTAGAGCCACAGTCACCTCCTGTTAGAAACGCTGTTCTTCTGTCGGAGGCTGTCTCTGCACAGGCAGCCGTGGACATCGGGCTACCGGTTCTCATCATCGCGCCGACCCGGCCTCCCTGCAGAGCCTCTCCAGGGCCTGTTCACCCAGAGGACGACGCCCAGCATGCTCAGGATCAGGGGCAGCTCCAGGAGCACCAGCAGCAGGAAGTAGGTGCTGCCGAGCAGGGACCTGTGGGGACACGGGGACAGAAAATGAGCTACCTCCTGGGAAGGGGTGTCAGGTTTCCCCAGCTCTCCCTGGGCTCGGATCCTGGCTTCTGATAACTGTGTGACGGTGAGCCTGACCCCAGCCCGGACAGCTCCTTGGAGGGCACAGTCTTGCTGCTCACAGGTGAGGCCTCATGTGCCCCCGGCCCCAGGAAGCTGGGCCTGACATTTGAGCCCTCTCCGTTCACGAGCGTCCCGCCTTGTTGGCTGGTCTCCCATGACTGCCCGTCACCTAGCCCGTGTTGCGGCCAGGCTGAGGGCTTGGCGATCCTTGTCTCTTTGCCTTGGCTTCTGCTGTGTTTTTCACCCAGAAGGCCCTGCCCACTCACGTGGCTGCCTGTGTGAGCCCTACTCGTCTCCAGGGGTCTGATCTCTGGAGGCTTCCAGAAACCACACCAGGTGGTTTCCTTCTGCTCTGACCCTCTGGATGGATCAGCACCTGCCCCGCAGTCCCTAATGTTCCCTTGTGACTCCCCATGGGTCTATAAGGCCCCGAACCTATGATGTGTGACCTCCCACCCCCTCACCACCGTCCACCCCCTTCTCAGGGTCGCCACCTCCCAACTTGGGCCATCCTTATTTCAATCAGCCCATCTTGCAGCGACTCTTAGCTTGTGAAAAAATTTGCAAAATCCAGGTGTGTCCACCTGCAGAGCGCTGGCTGCATCCTACCATCAGGCTAGGCTGACAGTGCTGCTGGGGGCTGGACACGAGGCTACACGCAGGCCATGGGTCAAAAAGCCCTCAAAGTCCTTTCCCAGGCTCCACATGCTCTGGGTCTCTGCTGCTACATCTCTGGAGTCTCCTGCCCCCTGACCCCCAGCTCAAATCCCATCCATCTGCACAAAAGCACTGAGATACAATCAAAGCCAGGAATCCTAAAGCCAGTCCTGGGGCACAGCGCCTCAGACACACTTGCATGGCTACACACCAAGTATGTGGCAGGGACAGAGTCGGACCAGAGAGGGAACTGGAGCAGCCTGAGAATAACGGCGGGAAGAGCTGGGAGGGAGCTCTGCCTTGTCCTGGGGCCTTGACCTCACCAGGCCGTGTGGAATGAAGCCAGGCCACCCAGCAGGGCCCAGCCCCTGGGGGTTCCTCTGGACACCCCAAGGTGGGGAGTGTCACGGTGGTGCTCCACACCCCTCCGCCAAGTTGGGGGGTGAGAAAGCCGGACTTCCAGCTTCCCACCCTCCCTCTCAGCACTTTCCACCCTACACTCTGGTATCTGCACAGAGGTGGCTGGAACAATGTTTGTTCTTGGTCAGGAAGCAGCAGCAGATAAGAGAGGGTCTCCCCCACCCACTGGAGGCCCCGGGAGGTGGGAGGCCATGGAGGAGGGAGGCCAAAGGCCTCCATGTCAAGTCTCCACTCCTGCCACCTGGATGAACATTCTGCTTTCAGGCAGCCATAGTTCACATGGAAAATCTTATTTTACTCGAAGGTAAACTGAGGTTGGGGAAGCCTACCTCAGACTTTGCAATGAGTTTACTGATAGCTAGATATACCAGAGGAGCCATATGGGCACCCCAGCCTGAGAACCCCCAGAACATAGGGTTATCAGATTACAGCAAATAAAAATACAGATGCTTCCATTAAATTTGCATTTCATGTAAACAACATATACTTTTAAGCATAAGTATATCCCATGAAAAAATTAGGGATATACTTATGCTAAAAATTGTTTTGCTTTTCCTTTTTGTTGTTGTTGTTGTTTGTCTGAAATTCCAATTGAACTGGATGCCCTGTGCTGTATCTGGCAACCCTCTTAAAGGAGAGGCTGTGGGGCCAGGCCCATGGGAAAGCCGGCAGAACCCAGTCCACATACCTGGTGACAGAGCTGGTGGTCTTCATACTGGTTGAAGGTGTGAAAGCCACACTTGCCGCCATGGTTGTCCTTCCTGGGGCTGATAACATACAAAGCAGAACACAGATCACCCCTTCCATGGACAGGCCAGCTCCGGGTGTGGCCCAAAGGCTTCTCCACCTAGGAATTGAGGGCTTCTCCTCTGGCCCCCACGACTCTCTGGTGAGCATCCCTAACGTGACATGAGTTCTTTCCTAAAGACAAAGTCATGACCATGCTCTGAGGAGCAAACTAAGGAGGCAGAATACACCCATCAGTTCAGTCCTAGTGGCAAAGCTTAGCACGCTTGATGGCATGTCACTCGCTCTGGGCCAGCCTGGCTCCCTGACACCTGTCCTGATGATGGGACCCACAGAGCCGCCCCGCCCCGAGCCTGCTCTGGGAAGCCCAGGATTCCTGACTCTGTGCAGCGGCTGAGCACCCTGCGCCTCTGCTCCTCCCTCGCTGGCCCTTTCCTGCCTTCCATCCGCTCCATGGTTTGAACCCTCCGACCCCAGGGAAGTCGCGATGTGGCGAACGGGTCCCAGCCTCCCCTGTGCTGCCAATGCCTGCTGCGCCACACTCTGCTCACCCCGCCTGAGTTTTGCTGTTCAGTTAGCTTCTGGAACAACTTAAACATAACGGATCACGATATTATATTTGTCTTTTTTGGGGTGATATTATGTTTCCATTCTTAAATCGAGGTGTCATTGACACGTAATAAACTGTAAATACTTAAAGTGAATAATTTAAAAATCTCCAAAATATGTGTATACCTGATAACACCACCCCACATTCACAGTAGTGAAGGTATGGGCAATCCCCAAAAGTTTTCTCATGCATATGAGAAAACTCCCTCCTCCCCACCTGTCTGCAGGTGTTAAGCACTGAATTGTGACCCCAAAATTCATATGTTGAAGCCCGAAGCCCAGTACCTGAGAAGGTGACTATATTTGGACACAGGACCTTTAAACAGGCAATTAAGTTAAAATGAATCTGTTAGGATGGTCCCTCTTCCAGTCGGACTGGTGTCCTTATATGAAGAGGAGACTAGGACACATGGAGAGACCCCAAGGGTGTCCAGGCACGGAGGAGTGAGCACGTGAAGAGGCAGCAAGAAGGTGGCCGTCTGCAAGCCAGGGAGGGAGGCCTCAGGCAAAACCCAACCTGCTGACCCATAGTCTTGGACTTGCAGCCTCCAGACCTGTGAGCAATAAAGTTCTGTTGTTTATGCCACCCAGTCTGTGGCATTTTATTTTGACAGCTCTAACAAAGTGACATAACAGACTCTGACATGTTTTCTGGGAATATCAACTACAGTGTACACTTGTTTGTGGACTGGCGTCTTTCACTCAGCATAACTATTTTATTGTTTGTGTACCAGGAGAACATTCTTTCAAATTGCAAGTATATTTCATTGTACAGATGTTTTGGATTCTCTAAATCCATTCACCTATTGATGGGCATTTGAATTGTTTCCCATTTGGGGCTATTACAAATAAAGCTACTATGAACTTTCCTTTACAAGTCTGTGTGTGGACATCATCTCTTCTGTTATTTTCAGTAAAAAACGGAGGAGTCGAATGGCTGGACCATATGGTAGGCATATGTTTATCTTGGAAGAAACTGCCAACTCCTTTCCAAAATGACTGTACCATTTCCGTTCCCATCAGCAGTGCATGAGGGTTCCACTTGCTCCGGGTCCTCTCCAAGACTTGGTGTCAGGGTCAGTGGTTTTAATTTTGGCCTTTGATAAAGGTATATAGTGGAATCTCATTTTGATGTTTTATTCACATTTCCATAATGACTAATGATGTTGAGCATCTTTGAATGTGCTTATGTGCCATCCATATGTATTCTTTGGAGAAGTGTCTGTTCAAATGTTTTGCCCATTTTAATCGGGTTGTTTGTTTCCTTATTATTTAATTTTGAGAGGTCTTTACAAATTCTGGATACAAATTCTTTATTGGATTGCATTAGCTGTCCACTGATGGCTAGTAAGTTACCAAGAAACTCAGTGGCCTAAAACAGCAAACATTCACATCTCGCTGTTTCTTTGGGTCAAGATCCGGACGTGCCTTAGCCTCAGGGTGTCTCTCAGGATGTAGCCATGGGGTCGGGCAGGTGGGGCTTCAGCTATCTCAGGGGTGAGGATCTGGCTCTACGCTCACTCGTGCGATTTCAGTAGGTCTCAGGTTTTCTTTGGCTCTTGGACAGAGACATCAGTTTCTTGACACTGGACATCATTTCTTCACATAATTTGCTTGTCCCTCTGCCTTTTCAGTGACTCCAATTTCACAGATACTAGGTTGACTGGCATTGTACCATTGCTGACTGATGTCCTGATCCTTTAAAAATTCTTTTTGTCTCTGAATTTCATTTTGGACAGTTTCCATTGCTGTCTCTTTAAAAAATACTAATCTTTTAGTCTGTAACACTTGATATGTCACTAATCTCATCTAGTGTGTTTTCTATCTCAGACATTGTAGTTTTCAGCATTAAAGGTTTCAAATGGGTCTTTTACATATTTTCTGTGTCTCCATTTAATTTATTGAACGTGTGGAAAATAGTTACCACAACTGTTTTAATTTTCTCCTCTACTGATTCTAACATCTGTGTCAGTTCTGGCTGGTTTCCCTTCATTGAATGATTGAGTGGTGTTTCCCTGCTTCTTTGCATAACCATTATCAAATCTCCTAATCTTTGACTGTATGCCGGATATTGCTTTCCCTTGTTAGTGCTGGCACTTTTGTTTTCTTACAAACCCTCATGAGCTTTGTGCTGAGGTGCGGCTAAATTACATGGAAAAGATTTTAATCTTTTCAGATGCGTAAGGCCATTTCAAAGCAGCATTCTGTCTAGGGATAATTCTTCCCCACTACCAAGACAAGACACTTAATGAACACTCTTCTCAACACCATAGATGGAAAGTTTTCCAGTCTGGTTAATGGGAACAGGAGGGATTACTGGTCCTGAGTCAGAACTGATTCTTCTAAGTCTTCTGGGGTGGTGCTCCGGCCAACCACATACGTGTGCAGATCAGTCCTCTGTTAAATACTTCTGGGGAGCCCGGGGACAGAACTCTACGATTCTCACGTTTTTCAACTCTCTCCTCTCTGGTCAGACAACTGTGCGTTAGGCTGTCCCCCACCTAAAGACGTATCTCATGAAAGGCTCAGTGTGAACACACCTGCCAAGTCCCCTTCCCTTCTGGACAGGGAGGTTGTCACCTGCTCTGGGACTGCACCCCACACGAGCTGGGGGCTCTCACAACAGTCCCCCAGGCTCCACTTGGCTTCCCTCTCTGAGTCTCCACCTGGAAGCTCGCTCAAGGCAGTGAGCCGGGCAGGCACAGGGCCCCCTCTTGTATTTCCTTTTACTCATACATCCCTCTGATTGCTTGCTTGAGTCCAATGACTTGAACACCTAACGTTCATATATTTCACCTATTTTATTTCTTAGGAGGCGAATCGAGTTCCTTTTACTCTGCTTGCTCAGAAGCAGAAGTTCTATAGTTTCCCTCCATGTGTGCAAAAGGTCTGTCATCCCTACACACAGCAGCACATGCAGGACAGACGTACAACCGAGTGTGTGCAAGGAGGGGGGCATCCCTCCCACCTCAGTGGAGCCAGGAGGGCGAAGGGGCCCTGGAAGGAGGGGCCTGCAGGGGCCCTGCACCTCCTGCTCTCTGCAGCCATCGCTCCTTCCAGGCTCAGCTGAGGCTCCCAGGCCGATGGGCGGAGTCTGAGTCCTGGGGAGCCTCAGAGGCGGACAGAGGGGAGCGGGAGCACCCGGGCAGTGCAGCAGCTCTCTCTCCTTCGCTAGCGACACTTGTACAGGAATGGGCTGGGGGCCCCATCCCGGACCCCCAGCAAGACGTGAGTGTGGACACACACGCCGCCCAGGGAGGAGGAGCCCCTGGCAGTTCTTAGCCACCCTCATGGTAGGCAGGAGGCTCAATAGTCTGGGCCTGTGTCTCTGGGGCTCTGCGCCTCCTCCATATCTGCTGAGTGAGGGGACAAGAGTCTTCCTCCCTTGAGGGGTCAAAGTGCATCTTAGAGGCCCCAGAGACTCAACTGCAGGCTCCACTGGAGCCTGACACTCACATCTGGACCGTTCCAAGGAGGGCAGAGCTAGTGCACTGATGACCAGGATGGGGACACTGTCTCCTTCCAAGCCCTGCCGCCCAAGCCCAAACGAGAACATTCCCCAGAGGTTCCGGGTACCGTGTGTGGCCCCGAGCACTGCGGTGCTGCCACCAGGGACACCAGGGCCCTAGACCAGTGCCGGCCACCTGAGGGGAGTAGAAGCCCCGCCCAACACACAAACTCATGCAAGCCAGGACGCTGGGGCCGCACAGCTGAGCCCCCCAGGAGTGTCCACATTCTAGAAGGACTTGGGAAGACAACCTCGTTAAGCCCAAATGCATAATTGGAGCCTGGTGGGACTCAGCCCCAGGAACACAGCTGTTTGACTGTGAAGGCCTTTCTGGACCTCAGGAATCACACCCAGCACCTGACGACGCTGGGCCTCTCTTCCCCCAGCGTGGATGTGGGATGGGGGTGGCAACAGCAGCTGTGAAGACCCAGCCCAGACTCCACTGAGAGCAGGGAGCACCTGGGAACCTGATGTCCTAGGAAGGCACTTGCAGGCTGGGGTCTCTGGGTACCATGGAAGGGGAGCCTTTGGCCCATAGGTGAAAGGGGGCCCATGACCTTCTCCCCTATAAGCAATAGACACAGACACTGAGCTGTGCAGAGAAAAAAATAAGTGTGCCTGGAAGGCCTTGATCCATCCTGGAGGACGCCCTGGGAGCACGGGGCACATAGAGAAGCCCTGCCCTCCGACACCAAGTGGTCAGTCAGGCTCTAGGAGACCTCAGGACTGAACCCTCCTCTGCGACAGGTGACACTCAGTGACAGTTACCTCACTGGAGTGTGATTTCAATGGCCAGGACATAGCAGATCCTGAAAGACCTCGCACCCTCTTACCTGGGGCAATGGTCACCTCAACTGGGACTGCAAAGTCAATTCCGGTTCTCTCGATCCCACACCAGTAAGTGTCAGCGTCGTCTCTCCTGAGCTCCTCCATGGTCACCGTGAACGTGTGGTTTTTGTGACTGTCCCTGATGGACACACGGTCCTTCTTCACCTCCTGCTCTGATCCAGTGGTCATGACAAGGATCCTGCAGCTGCGCCAATGAGCACCTCGACACCACCACTTCCTGTGCCTTTCCAAGCCTGGCTCATAACGACACTGCACGGTCAGTGAGCCCCGCTCCCGGCCTCTTGCTGCTCCTGGACCAGTGAGTGGATTACTGGAAGTGGAGTAGCCTGGAAAACACAAATCATGTCCCTGTCGCCTCCCACCCCAAGGGCAGGGCCACAGCCTCCTACATTGGGAATAGCTCCCAAATCCCAGTGTTGCCTGAGTTCAGTAACACTCAAGGAAGAAATACACCTTCCACAGGACAAAGCTTTTGCCCTTCAATGTTCCACTGGGTCCAAAGCTACCAGGAAAGTCCCTGCACAGCACAGCCATAGACCACAAAAGAAACAACAATATTAACAGTGAGCAATAATAGCTTCTTGTAATTCACCCTTCTCTACCTCCCTATGGACACAAATATTTATATACTATTTCGAAGAATGTCCTTTGGCCACTGTGTTTGTATCATACTCATCTGATGGGGAAAATACCAAAAGACCCACTTCCAGAGAAGAATCATGGCTGCCTTGACTCTCCACTGTCCCTGGAGGTTCTAGTTGTCTCCATGGCTCTGCCATGGTGAACCCCCCGGGGGAAGCCTTGAAGTCCACGGAAACAGTGATGCCCACTGGTCTCCATGTGCTTTGGGGTCTCAGTTTCCCCATAAATTGTAGTAAATTCCAGTTTCAAAATCACTAGCAAGAGCTACCCTTTAAGGTAAAGCAAGTAAAGTTTAAGTATAAATAGGGTGTCACCCATTCTATGCCCTTTGTGTCTTGTAAGATTCTTACTAAACTAATGACAATAATTTCTTGGATGAGTCCAGCGATGTGGAATCCACAGGTAGGAAAGCCAACTGCATATCACAATAGATATAAAAATTGGTAATTATAATAGGATGCTTTGTAACTCCAGAACTACATGTTAATATGGACTCAATAAAATAGTAATTTCTGGGGGCGGAGGGATGATAAATAGACTCAAAACCAGCAAGAAACTTAAAAGGACCAATAAGTTTTTGGGAAAATAATCTAAGATATCCAAGAATTTATTCTAGTAAAGGCTCTGCTGGCAGCTAGCATTATAGGTAGTTTCTTTTAAATTGGAAAGAAACAACAAGTCCTTTGCTATATGTATGTTCCGATTCCAGAGCATAAAAGATAGAAATCGACAAATTCCTTTTGTGAAACTAACATAAACCTGATAAGAAACCTTGACACAGACAGCACAGGGACAACGGCAGGGAAGAGCCACACTCAGGAACACAGATGTGGACTTGGGTCCTGACAGCGGGTTGGCCCCACACCCACGGCTGTCGCTGCTGCTGTTTTTGTCCCCAGCTAAGCCCTTTGTCTTAACTTTGAGAGTCTCCACTCAAATCTAACTTCTGGCTGCTCTGGAAAAACTGAAAGATCTGAAATGACAGAGCCACTTCTTGCACGAGGACCGTGGGCTGCAGTGGGGCGGGTGGGTCTCCCCGCATCTCTTGCTCCCGATTGCCGAGGTCCTCACTGCTGCCCAGGGTCTCCCTGACACACAAGCCTCATGTCAGTTGCCATTTGCTGTGCTTCAAGTGTTATTTTTCTTTTAGCAAAGACAGATTTCCCTGTATATGGATCTTTCCAAGGTGAGGAAAGAAAGAAAGAACAGAAAGAACATATATGTTAAGACAATGCTGCCTCACCCTCTATAACCTGCCTGGAGTGGTTTTGGCAGGTCTCAGATTCTTACTGGCTCTTGGCCACAGACATCAGTTTCTTGACATTGGACATTATTTCTTCACCTAATTTGCTTGTCCCTCTGCCTTTTCACTGATATTAGGTTGACTGATTTGTACCATGGCTCACTGATGTTCTGCTTCTTTTTAAGATTCTTTTTCTCTCTGAATTTCATTTTGGACAGTTTCTATTGCTGTCTCTTCAAACACAAATCTTTTATTCTGGAACACTTGATGTGTCATTAATCTCATCTACTGTGTTTTCTATCTCAGACATTGTAGTCTGGAGCTTGAAATGTTTGAATGGGTCTTTCATATATTTTCCATGTCTCCATTTAATTCATTGAACATGGGCAAACAGTTATCACAACTGTTCTAATTTCCTCCTCTGCTAATTCTGACATCTGTGTCAGTTCTGTCTTGGTTTCCATTGGTTGATTGATTGCTCGCCCGGTCACGAATGGTGTTCCCCTGCTTCTTTGCATAACCATTATCAAATCTCCTCATCTTTGACCATATGCCGTACATTGCTTTCCCAAGTTAGTACTGGCACTTTTGTTTCCTTACAAACCCTCATGAGCTTTGTGCTGGGGTGCAGTTAAATTACATAGAAAAGATTTTAATTTTTTAAGATGTATAAGGCCATTTCAAAGCAGCATTCTGTCTAGGGATAATTCTTCCCCACTACCAAGACAAGACACTTAATGAACACTCTTCCCAATACCCCATAAATTATAAGTTTTCCAGTCTGGTTAATGGGAACAGGAGTGATTACTGGCCCTGTGTGGGAACTGTTTCTTCTAAGTCTCCTGGGGCAGTGCTCTGGCCAGCCACGGAAAGTTCTCGCGCACGTGTGCAGATCAGTCCTCTGTTAAATACTTCTGGGGAGCCTGTGAGTGGACCTCTAGGAGTCTCACTTTTTTCAACTCTCTCCCTTCTGCTGAGACAACTGTGCATTAGGCTGTCCACCAGCTAAAAAGATACCCCATGAAAGGCCCAGTGTGAGCACACCTGACGAGTCCCCTTCATTTCCAGATAGAACAGGTTGCCGCCTGCTCTGGGACTGCACCCCACGCGAGCTGGGGGCTCTCACAACAGTCCCCCAGGCTCCACCTGGCTTCCCTCTCTGAGCTTCCACCTGGAAGCTCGCTCAAGGTACTGAGCGGGCAGACACAGGGCCCCCCTCTTTTATTTCCTTTTTCTCATACAGCCCTCTGATTGGTTGTCTGAGTCCAATGCCTTGCGATCCTTACTTTCATATATTTCACCTATTTTATTTCTTGCTGTGCTTTGAGGTAGGAGGTGAATCGAGTCCCTATTATTCCACGTCCCCATAAGCAGAAGTTCTGTAGTTTCCCTTCAAGTGTGCGAAAGGTCTGTCATCCCTACACACAGCAGCACGTGTAGGACAGACGTATAACCGAGTGTGTGCAGGGAGGGGGGCATCCCTCCCACCTCAGTGGAGCCAGGAGGGCGAAGGGGCCCTGGAAGGAGGGGTCTGCAGGGGCCCTGGGCCACCTGCTCTCTGCAGCCATGGCTCCTTCCAGGCTCAGCTGAGGCTCCCAGGCCGATGGGCGGGGTCTGAGTCCTGGGGAGCCTCAGAGGCGGTCAGAGGGGAGCGGGAGCACCCGGGCAGTGCAGCAGCTCTCTCTCCTTGACTAGCGACACTTGTACAGGAATGGGCTGGGGTCCCCATCCTAGACCCCCAGCAAGATGTGAGTATAGACAGATACGCTGCCCAGGGAGGAGGAGCCCCTGGCAGTTCTTAGCCACCCTCATGGTAGACAGGAAGCTTAACCACTTTGGTACGGTGCTCACTGGCTGCGAAACCGTGCCCACAGCCAGCACTCACAGCCCGCACGGTAGTTTGTGCTGTGCACTGACAAGGTATCCGTTTTGCTCTTATGTGATGAGGAAAGCTTGAAAGCACTGAAAGCTTGTTTTACTTTACAGGCAGCTTTACTTGTAATGTAAATCACAATAGGTAACATATACATATATGCTTTCATTACGTTATTTTTAAATGTTCACAATTTTATTTTGATAAATGAAAAATTAGAAAAGTCATATCACGGCTGTCGGCTAAAGTTGCTGTGTGCGTTCATCTGTGGTTGTCGACTATAGTCGACTCTGGTACCAAAGTGATTAATAGTCTGAGCCTGTGTCTCTGGGGCTCTGCGCCTCCTCCAAATCTGCTGAGTGAAGGGATAAGTGTCTTCCTCCCTTGAGGGGTCAAAGTGCATCTTAGAGGCCCCAGAGACTCAACCGCAGGCTACACTAGAGTGTGACCATCAGGCCTGGACCCTTCCAAGGAGCGCAGAGCTAGTGCACTGATGACCAGGATGGGGACACTGTCTCCTTCCAAGCCCTGCCACCCAAGCCCAAACAAGAACATTCCTCAGAGGTCCCGGGTGCCGCGTGTGCCCCGGGCCACCAGGGCCCTACACCGGTGCCAGCCGCCTGAGGGGAGCAGAAGCCCAGCCCAACACACAAACTCATGCAAACAAGGCCATTGGGGCCTTGCAGCTGAGCCTCCCAGGAGTGTCTGTGTTCTAGAAGGACGTGGGAAGACAACCTCGTTAAGCCCAAATGCATAACTGGAGCTTGGTGGGACTCAGCCCGAGGAACACAGCTGTTTGACTGTGAAGGCCTTTCTGGACCTCAGGAATCACACCCAGCACTCTGACGACGCTGTGCCTCTCTTCCCCCAGCGTGGATGTGGGATGGGGGTGGCAACAGCGGCTGCGAATCCCCGGCCCAGACTCCACTGAGAGCAAGGAGCACCTGGGAAGCAGATGGAAAGTACTGGCAGGCTGGGGTCTCTGGGTGCCATGGAAGGGGGAGTCTTTGGCCCATGGGCTGCAGCTGGGACCATCATCTTGACCCCTGTGAGCAACAGACATGGACACTGAGCTGTTCAGAGGGAAAAAATGTGCCTGGAAAGGCTTGATCCACCCTGGGAGCACGGGGCACATAGAGAAGCCCTGCCCTCCAACACCAAGTGGTCAGGCAGGCTCTAGGAGACCTCAGGACTGAACCCTCCTCTGTGACAGGTGACACTCAGTGACAGTTACCTCCCTGGACTGTGAATTCAAGGACCAGGGCAGGGCAGTCCCTGAGAGACCTCGCACCCTCTTACCTGGGTCAATGGTCACCTCAACTGGGACTGAAAGGTCAATTCCGGTTCTCTCGATCCCACACCAGTAAGTGTCAGCGTCATCTCTCCTGAGCTCCTCCATGGTCACCGTGAACGTGTGGTTTTTGTGTCTGTCCCTGATGGACACACGGTCC